GTTACTTAAAACCGAACTAATGCCTTTCCCTTTATTTGCACTGTTGTACATGCTCCTCTCCTGTACTGATTATGCTTACTCTGGTTTCACTGCACACTATAAATGTATCACAGTGTGCATTACATACAAATCGGATAGTTCCTGCCTTGTTTCCAAGCATCATCTTCAAACCCTTTTTTTCTCAGCATGACTCCTTGGCCCACCCTTTTGGAATTGGATTTCAGTTCTTTCAGTCATGGAGGCTTAACATTACATTACATTACAAGTGGGCACTATCCAGGATGGTTTTCATAGAAGTACAATCTGCCTAGGAACTCTCACTGCTCCAGACTGACATCCACACATTGAGACATGTTGATACTTACCTACTGCTTACATCGGAGCTGAGGGTTCCTGAGAGAACTACTGAAGCATGTGTTTCAGGTGATGCCAGATTCACCCCCCCCCCCACACACACACACACACACACACAAGTAATGATCTGCCTGCTTTGCATAGAGAAGCACAGAGTTCCAGTAATTACATCATTGGGTCTAAAATAAGGTATGTAATGCAAACAGGTTTTATGTTAAAATTATATTAGCATTGGGCCCCCCAGGTGATCAGGACAGGGCCAGTGAGCTCTGGGGCAACCCTGATTGTTACCCGTCACAGAGGGGGCAGAATATGGTGCAAGGGGATCGGCTGTAAACACAAATCCAAAGATAAAGCTCTTCTGGAGTTACTTTAGGGAAAGCCCTTAAATGAGCAGTTCTGTGTTTGTTATAAGTTCAACTGATATCAGGGAACACATTTCCTATACTATTTTCCTTTTGTAAGTGATGTTTTATTTCTATTAACCACTGTACGATAGATATGGTATCATGTGTTGGTGACTTCCCAAATCCTGAGATGCAGCTTTATTGTATTGTCAAAATTTAATAAACAAATTGGATAAGAAAATTTCATTAGCAGTGTAATGGGGAAAAGCAGGTGGGGGATGTTGCAATATAAGCAGATTAAACTTTAGTTTTAACTACAGCATAAAATAATCAGGGCTGTGTTGTGCAGATCTCAGCATGAACAAATAGAATTTAAATAGTTTTGACAGGTAAATCAGTCTCGTTATATGTTAATCATCTGCATATTTAGATGTTTACATGGAGTTAAGCATTATAGTAGTTCTAAAGTCTAAACATTTTTTACCTTTTAATGCATTCTCTGCATTTTCCAGCAGCAGTATCACCCCCTCACCCCCCCCCCTTTATACTTACCGGAGTCCCCTCTGAATCAGCACTGTATCCCCCTTAACGGCTCTCCTTTGTCCCCACTGTCGCATGCCCCATTGGCTTCAACTGCTGTCAGTCAAATTCTGTGGTGAAGGGGCGGGTTAAGTCATTCTGTCTCTATGGATGCAGGCAGAGTGGTTCAGGATCGAGCCTGCACGTGCACCCCAATGGAAAGCAAATTCCTATGGGGGTGCATGGAGAAGAGTAGGAGCCAGGAGAGCAAGCGGAGGACCACAGAAGAGGAGGAAGGGGACTATGTAACATGTTTGTCATTTAAACAAAATTAAGACTTTACAATCACTTTAACTCTTAAAAACTTTTGGGCACTTTTGGATAGAAATAAACTCTGTTCCTCAAAGATTCGCTATTTACACGATCTATAGAGAGCCTTTCTTTGTAACTCCCCATTCAAAGACTGCTTTCAGCCTAAAGCTGGCTATAGATGGATCGAAATTTAGCCGGTTCATCAAGGACTTCTGTACATCCAGCCAGAAATCTTTTGCTCGATCAGTGCCACTGGCTGTATTTTGAAGGCGGGGGAAGTGTGTGGATGGGGGGTAAATCAACTCATTTTCTTTAGTTCAACCTGCTGGTTGAAAAACATATGGCAATTGGTGCCCCAGAAGTAGACTGATTATGTCCGTGACCAGCAGGGAGTTCAGGAACACCACAGCACTGAAGTGAAGGTGAGTATAGTTCAAATTTAATCTGCAAAGGCAGCCAGATGGGGAGGTACAGATACTGCAACCACGGCAAAAATGATACCCTTTGTTGCATTCAGCATGCATTACCGCTGCCAACATGACTTATTCAACAAAATGGGCCCATGCCACAACTGTCCTGCAACCATGGGCTATGCATATTGTTGCCATGTGGTGGTGCGGCTTTACAGGGTCAAAACAGACTCTGTGGAGTTACTGTACATGTCACTTTCTCACTGCCTGTCAAATGCCTCAAAAAAGCAGTCTACTGTGGACCCCTTTTCAAAGGAGCAGCAAGATCTGATACATGAGTAAACGTAGCCTTAGTTTTTATATTCATTATCGTTAATAAAATGTATCTTTACAGGGTCTTTTTCTATTTTAATGTGATCAATTGCTATAAGACAGTTTAGATATAGCTCAGATTTTTTTTTATTCCAAAAATACTTTATTAATATGAGAATAGACAAGATAGCATATAGAGCTTATACAGCTATAGATCACAATCAGAACATAGACATGACATGTTGTCTCCCGTTTCGCAGACGGGACTTATTGTACACTGTAATACAAGGCCATGTGGAGTGGAACAGTACATCAAGCATACACTGCAACAATGGATACGCAGAGGAAAGTGGATACAGCAATGTAGGTGTATGTTATCACGTCTTGAATCTCAGCATTTATTTATGATGGAGTGGTATGAAGATTAGGGTATGGAAGGCACTAGATGTTGTGAACGTCATGGTTTACGTATTCATAGCTCAGATTTTAAGCCATGAGTTTGCTGGGTGCTAATCTTAGGAATTTGCTGTGTGAGGATTCTTTGTTCGTAATTCCTCTCCAGTTACTATTCATTTTATACATTCCAAAGACCTCTTGGGTCTGCACTGTGGCACTCGGTGAAGTGAACAGGTAGACTATGATATAGTTTTTCCCTTTATAATATCTACAGGTGAAACTCGAAAAATTAGAATATCGTGCAAAAGTTCATTTATTTCAGTAATGCAACTTAAAAGGTGAAACTAATATATGAGATAGACGTGCAAAGCAAGATAGTTCAAGCCATAATTTGTCATAATTGTGATGATTATGGCTTACAGCTCATGAAAACCCCAAATCCACAATCTCAGAAAATTAGAATATTACATGCAATCAATAAAACAAGGATTGTACATAGAACAATATCGGACCTCTGAAAAGTATAAGCATGCATATGTACTCAGTACTTGGTTTTGGGCCCCTTTTGCAGCAATTACTGCCTCAATGCGGCATGGCATGGAAGCTATCAGCCTGTGGCACTGCTGAGGTGTTATGGAAGACCAGGATAAAGACCAGGATGCTTCAATAACGGCCCTCAGCTCTTCTGCATTGTTCGGTCTCATGTCTCTCATCTTTCTCTTGGCAATTCCCCATAGATTCTCTATGGGGTTCAGGTCAGGTGAGTTTTCTGGCCAATCAAGCACAGTAATCCCACTGTCATTGAACCAGGTTTTGATGCTTTTGGCAGTGTGGCCAGGTGCCAAGTCCTGCTGGAAAATGAAGTCAGCATCCCCATAAAGCTCGTCTGCGGAAGGAAGCATGAAGTGCTCCAAAATCTCATGGTAGACGCTGCATTGACCCTGGTTTAAAAAAAATAGGTTGCGCTTAATACATACAAAAGTATAACAAGAAAATAAATAACAAAAACAATAAGAAACAATATTTTAAATCAAAATAAAATCCAGCAAAAACGAAAAAGTCCAAAAGTTCAAATAATCAATAATGTCCAAAATAATTCATCACCAAGTAAATCCACCACCAAAAATGGTTCAATAGAACTCACCAGAGTAATATGCTGATTGTTGAAAAACCTGCATATAGTACTTGTTATTCTGGGAGAAAATTAATAATATGGTGACAACAACATTGAAGAAATGAGGGATGAACTCCAACATATATTCGTTTCACCTTTTAAGTTGCATTACTGAAATAAATTAACTTTTGCACGATATTCTAATTTTTTGAGTTTCACCTGTATATGCTCCTTTTATGTTTTTCATTTTGCTTCCTTTTTGTCCAATATTATGTTTAGGGGCATTCCAATATATAAATCACTTTGTTTACATGTAATAAATTGATTTATATTAATTTCTCCTGTGGACCTGAATGTGAAGCTACTTACTTCTGTTATTAATATGGGATTCATAGCCCCTACACCTCATACAGGGCAAAAACCTTTTGTATGAATAATATTACCATTTTCTTCAGTGGAACTTCGATTAGGAACCAAACTATCTTTAACTCTCTCTCAAATCCAATATGCATATATGTGATAATATAGTGGTGGGCTTTAATGCCTAGCTGCTACGTATATAAATACAGCCAGCACCACTGTTTTGTTCTAGGAGTGCACACACTTGGCATCCCCAGCACTCTAAGTTGTCACAAACAGATCACGGTCATGGTTTACAATCGGCAGCTGGTAAGACAGACACCTGATCACATTATCACTGTGAAAGCCAATCTCAATGAACATGATTGGGAGCTTGATTATATCCATGTTAAGATCCACTTGAAGAGCGGACTCCACCACCAGAAATTGGTTAAAACGTATCTAAACCCAAAGGCAAAAATATAAACTATTGCAACTTACCAGTCCTTAGTTGTAGTAGCTGAATATGATTTATTTTTTTTCAGGCTTTTTTTTTCCTTTTATTTCAGCTAGTGATCCTGTCTATAACACACTTCCTGTTTTAGGGTGAGTTCGCCCAGCTGTATCTATAGAGGAGGTGTTAGGTCAGTGGTTGTCAACTTATGAGCTAAAGAGGGCCTCAAATGTGCCCCCATGTTCCAAGGGTAGGCATGGCACTCTGTGTCTGAAGTAAATGCCCAAGTGCTCACCCACAAAGAAATTGGTATAAATCCAAAACTGGTTTAATGGCACTCACGGGTCTTGCAGAGGAGGAAGATCAAAAACAGCAGTGTTTTTATTGTCAACATTTCGATGAAACTCAGTCCATTTTTATCAAGATACACTATGTTGTCAGAGGTATTGGAACACCCCTCAAAATCATTGGATTCAGGTGTTCCAATCACCTCCATGGCTAGAGGTGTATAAAATCAAGCACCTAGGCATGCAGACTGATTCTACAAACATTTGTGAAAGAATGGGTTGCTCTCAGGAGCTCAGTGAATTGAACAGTGGTACCGTGATAGGTTGCCACCTGTGCAATAAGCCCATCCGTGAAATTTCCTTGCTACTAAATATTCCACGGTTAACTGTTAGTGATATTATAAAAAAGTGGAAGCAGTTAGGAACAACAGCAACCCAGCCACGAAGTGGTACGCCACGTAAAATAACAGAGCAGGGTCAGCGCATGCTGAAGCGTACAGTGCACAGAAGTCACCAACTGACTGCAGAGTCAATAGCTAAAGACCTCCAAACTTCATGTGGCCTTCAGATTAGCACAAGAACAGTGCATATAGAGCTTCATGGAATGGGTTTCCAATGCAGAGCAGCTGCATCCAAGCCTTACATCACCTGATGCATTGATGATCATCAATGATGCAGTGGTGTAAAGCATGCCACCACTGGACTATAGAGCAGTGGAGACGTGTTTCTTTGGAGTGACAAATCATGCTTGGACGTGTCTTGATTTGGCTGCTGCCAAAAGAACGGTACTTGCCTGACTGCATTGTGCCAAGTGTAAATGTTTACTGGAGGGGGGATTACGGTGTGGGGTTGTTTTTCAGGGTTGGCCTTAGTTCCAGTGAAGGGAACTCTTAAGGTGTCAGCATACCAAGAGATTTGGGCCAATTTCATGCTCCCAACTTTGTGGGAACAGTTTAGGGATGGCCCCTTCCTGTTCTAACACGACTGAGCACCAGTGCACAAAGCAAAGTTCATAAGGACATGGATGAGAAAGTTTGGGGTGGAGGAACGTGACTGGCCTGCAAGTCCTAACCTCAACCTGAAAGAAAACCTTTGGGATGAATTAGAGGGGAGACTGCAAGCCAGGCCTTCTCGTCCGACATCAGTGCCTGACCTCACAAATGCGTTTTTGGAAGAATGGTCAAACATTCCTACAGACACACTCCTATACCTTGTGGACAGCCTTCCCAGAAGAGTTGAAGCTGGTATAGCTGCAAAGGGTGGGCCAACTCAATATTGAACCCTACGGACTAAGACTGGGATGCCATTAAAGTTCATGTGCGTGTAAAGTCAGGCATCCCAATATTTTTGGCAATATAGTGTATGTCTTTGAATTTCAATATGATGATATTAGTAACATACACTAGGCGGCTTCAACCTTCGGTACATATGTCAATATATGACATTTTCCGTAATTAAATCAATTAATAAAATTAATGAACTTATATGCAAGATAGATTTGTGTGGAATGGTCGGAGTATTGCAGAGGTAATTTCAATAACTTATATGTACTTGGAGAGAAAACTTTTCTATTATTGTAGAGCGTCTATATATAATGTAAGAGGACGTCGGCACGTTCGACTGGTCCCCTTGACAACGTCCATTAGGATAAAACATATATTAGGGAAGAGTCCGTGCTGATATCACCCCCGCCACCTGCAGCTGGGACCAGCGACGTTTGTTACCTGCAATTTCTATTGGAAATTTTGTAAGTAGATTTTGGTTTTTATACAATAAAATATTTTATTAGGGATTCCCCAATCAATACTGACTTTGTTGATGGGGAAAAATTGTATTTCTTGTAAAAAACTGCATGATCTATGGCTTGCTGTAAAAAACAAAAAAAAGGCAGTGCAGCGACTCAATATGGCCACATTTTTAGTCAGCTCCGCTCATCATGGACACACCCTGGAAAATATTAGGCAACTGACATCTTTTGCCCTACAAATCGCTCAGGGAGATCCACCACAGCCTGCACACCATCTGGGTATGAACCGTTGTTTCAATCATGCTAGGGGTATTGCTTCCTCCAGCACTTCCCATCCCCACCCTGCTTTTTCTAAGATGGCACCGGCCTCCACAAGGAACAGCACCTCCCTGAAGTTGGTGGATTTGGAGGACAGCCAGGACCTCTTCCCTGACAACCACCTCCTTACTGGCCAGGCTCTGGATGCCTCCCTTCTCTATCAAGTACAAGAAATAGCCTGGGATGAACTAGCCAAGGCAAGCAGCCATGGTCCTGGAGGTTGCTCAGTGGGCCCTGGAGCTCCTTGAAGACAAGCTGGAAGATATGGAGTATAGGGCTCGTCTGAACAACCTACACATCCAAGGCCTCCCTGACTCTATTCTGTACCTGCAGGACACTGTGCTAGCCCTTTTTCAAGAACTGGCCCCTGACCTATCCCCCAAACGCCTGCAATTGGATAAGGTTCATAGAGTCCTGGGCCCCAAGCAAGATAAAGGCTCTCCACATCACATCATCCTCAAGATGCACTTCTTTCATTCCAAGGAGTGCCTCTTGCAGGCTGCCAGGTTTGCTGCCTCACTCCAGTTTCAGGGCAACAAATACAGCCTCTACGCCAGGTGTCTCCAAACTTTTCAAACAATGGCCCAGTTTATTGTCCTTCAGATTTTAGGGGGGCCGGATTGTGGCCAGCTAGGGTATAAAATGTCCTGGGCTCTTCATCAGTGAGAATACAGATGGCCTCAGGGTTGGTAGTCAGTAGGAGGAAGAGTAATACCCCATCATTGGTATCAGTGGGAAGTATAGTACATCATCATTGGTCTTCGTGGAAGAAATATGCCCCATTGTTGGTGTCAGTGGGAGGAGTAGTGCCCCAAGGACTAGATAAAGACTAGCAAAGGGCCACATCTGACCCTCATGCCACAGTTTGGAAACCCATGCTGTGCGCCAATCTTGCCCCAGTCACCCTTCAGAAAAGCCATGCATCCATACCTGGCGATACTGCAATTTGTGGGAATCCGGTATCGGTGGAGTTACCCTTTTAACGCTTACATTTACTATGGATGGGAAGAGGGTCCAGGTTACAGCTCCTTCCTGATCTGGAAGGTCCATCCAGCAGTTCTTGTCTTTCTGGGACACAATCCATTACTTCGTCACAGCCAGAAAAAGCCATGCATCTCCATCTCCTCCACTCCCAGACCTTTCAGACTGTTGGTGCCGGCTGATGGACTCTAACCTCCTCTTTTGGCGATCCATGGATCACCTTGCCTGCAGATAGGGCATATAGCCTTCAGGCCTGTATACCTTTGCAACCTGACTAAGGTTCATGAAGTTTTGTCAGCAAGTACTCCTTGCTGTTGACAGATTTTGCCTTTCAAGTTGCTGTTGCTTTGTATGTTTATAAACACTTGCCCTGGAGGCATCTCCAAATGGAGAAGTCTCTCCAGCAGCCACTTTTTGTCTTTCAGCCATGTGAGGACCCCTACCTCTCTTTTGTTGCATTCCTATGTATTTATTGTGTTGGGTTGAGGCACCCTAGGGCAGTGATGGCGAACCCGTGGCACGCGTGCCACAGCCGGCACGCCGAGCCTTATCTGTGGGCACGCCAGGAGAATCCAGCGGCACGCTGTCTTCCCGGCTGTAGTGTGCGTGACAGCCGGGTCCCAAGTGCGCATGCACAAGAAGCAGTGCTCTTTGTGAATGGTAAGGCGGTACCTGGGACACATGACAGATCCCAGAAGCCGCCGGACCAATCACAAAGCGCAGCGCTTCTCGCGCATGCGCACTGGGCATCCGGCTGTCCGACGAGCGCCCACACTACAGAAGCCGGGAAGACAGCGCGCGGCTGGATAAAGGAACAGGTAAGATAAAAAAAAAAAACTCTGCGGAAGTAAGAGCGGGTACCTGTCAAATTCAGGTACCCGCTCCCCCTCCCTCCCCAAAGGTCAGCAGTCATCCCTGTGCTGTCCGCAGTCTCTGGTCATCCCTGTGCTGTCCCTCTGGCAGTGCGGTCCGCAGTCTCTGGTCATCCCTGTGCTGTGTCCGCAGTCTCTGGTCATCCTGTGCTGTCCGCAGTCTCTGGTCATCCCTGTGCTGTGCGCAGTCTTGGTCATCCCTGTGCTGTCCGCAGTCTCTGGTCATCCCTGTGCTGTCCGCAGTCTCTGGTCATCCCTGTGCTGTCCGCAGTCTCTCCTGGTCATCCCTGTGCTGTCGCAGTCTCTGGTCATCCCTGTGCTGTCCGCAGTCTCTGGTCATCCCTGTACTGTCCGCAGTCTCTGGTCATCCCTGTACTGTCCGCAGTCTCTGGTCATCTCCTGTACTGTCCGCAGTCTCTGGTCATCCCTGTACTGTGTCCGCAGTCTCTGGTCATCCCTGTGCTGTCCGCAGTCTCTGGTCATCTCCTGTACTGTGTCCGCAGTCTCTGGTCATCCCTGTACTGTGTCCGCAGTCTCTGGTCATCCCTGTACTGTGTCCGCAGTCTCTGGTCATCCCTGTACTGTCCGCAGTCTCTGGTCATCCCCTGTACTGTCCGCAGTCACTGGTTCCCTGTACTATGTCCGCAGTCTCTGGTCATCCCTGTACTGTCCGCAGTCTCTGGTCACCTTCTGTACTGTTCGCAGTCTCTGTCATCTCCTGTACTGTCCGCAGTCTCTGGTCATCCCTGTACTGTGTCCGCAGTCTCTGGTCATCCCTGTACTGTCCGCAGTCTCTGGTCATCTCCTGTACTGTCCGCAGTCTCTGGTCATCTTCTGTACTGGTCGCAGTCTCTGGTCATCTTCCTGTACTGTGTCGCAGTCTCTGGTCATCTCCTGTACTGTGTCCGCAGTCTCTGGTCATCTCTGTGTACTGTGTCCGCAGTCTCTGGTCATCTCCTGTACTGTCCGCAGTCTCTGGTCATCTCCTGTACTGTCCGCAGTCTCTGGTCATCTCCTGTACTGTCCGCAGTCTCTGGTCATCCCTGTACTGTCCGCAGTCTCTGGGTACTTTCCGCAGTCCTCTGGTACTGTACTGTCCGCAGTCATGGTACTGTGTCCGCTGGTCATCATCTCCTGTACTGTGTCCGCAGTCTCTGGTCATCCTGTACTGTCCGCAGTCTCTGGTCATCCCTGTACTGTGTCCGCAGTCTCTGGTCATCTCCTGTACTGTCCGCAGTCTTCTGTACTGTCGCAGTCTCTGGTATTCCTGTACTGTGTCCGCAGTCTCTGGTCATCTCCTGTACTGTGTCCGCAGTCTCTGGTCATCTCCTGTACTGTGTCCGCAGTCTCTGGTCATCTCTGTACTGTGTCCACAGTCTCGCAGTCTCTGGTCATCAGTCTCTGTATCTCCTGTACTGTGTCCGCAGTCTCTGGTCATCCCTGTACTGTGCAGTCTCTCTGGTCATCCCTGTACTGTGTCTGCAGTCTGGTCATCTCCTGTACTGTCCGCAGTCACTGGTCATCCCTGTACTATGTCCGCAGTCTCTGGTCATCCCTGTACTGTCCGCAGTCTCTGGTCATCCCTGTACTGTCCGCAGTCTCTGGTCATCTCCTGTACTTTCCGCAGTCTCTGGTCATCCCTGTACTGTCCGCAGTCACTGGTCATCCCTGTACTGTGTCCGCAGTCTCTGGTCATCTCCTGTACTGTGTCCGCAGTCTCTGGTCATCTCCTGTACTGTCCGCAGTCTCTGGTCATCTCTGTGTCCGCAGTCTCTGGTCATCCCTGTACTGTCCGCAGTCTCTGGTCATCCCTGTACTGTCCGCAGTCACTGGTCTTCCTGTACTATGTCCGCAGTCTCTGGTCATCCTGTACTGTGTCCGCAGTCTCTGGTCATCTCCTGTACTGTGTCCGCAGTCTCTGGTCATCCCTGTACTGTGTCTGCAGTCTCTGGTCATCCTGTACTGTGTCTGCAGTCTCTGGTCATCTCCTGTACTGTGTCCGCAGTCTCTGGTCTTCCCTGTACTATGTCCGCAGTCTCTGGTCATCCCTGTACTGTCCGCAGTCTCTGGTCATCCCTGTACTGTCCGCAGTCTCTGGTCATCTCCTGTACTGTTCCGCAGTCTCTGGTCATCCCTGTACTGTCCGCAGTCACTGGTCATCCCAGGTACTGTGTCCGCAGTCTCTGGTCATCTCCTGTACTGTGTCCGCAGTCTCTGGTCATCTCCTGTACTGTGTCCGCAGTCTCTGGTCTTCCCTGTACTGTCCGCAGTCTCTGGTCATCCCTGTACTGTGTCCCGCAGTCTCTGGTCTTCCCTGTACTATGTCCGCAGTCTCTGGTCATCCCTGTACTGTCCGCAGTCTCTGGTCATCCCTGTACTGTCCGCAGTCTCTGGTCATCTCCTGTACTTTCCGCAGTCTCTGGTCATCCCTGTACTGTCCGCAGTCACTGGTCATCCCCTGTACTGTGTCCGCAGTCTCTGGTCATCTCCTGTACTGTGTCCGCAGTCTCTGGTCATCCCTGTACTGTCCGCAGTCTCTGGTCATCCCTGTACTGTGTCCGCAGTCTCTGGTCATCCCTGTACTGTCCGCAGTCTCTGGTCATCTCCTGTACTGTCCGCAGTCTCTGGTCATCTTCTGTACTGTTCGCAGTCTCTGGTCATCCCTGTACTGTGTCCGCAGTCTCTGGTCATCCCTGTACTGTCCGCAGTCTCTGGTCATCTCCTGTACTGTGTCCGCAGTCTCTGGTCATCTCCTGTACTGTGTCCGCGTCTCTGGTCATCTCCTGTACTTTCTGCAGTCTCTGGTCATCCCTGTACTGTGTTTGCAGTCTCTGGTCATCCCTGTACTGTCCGCAGTCTCTGGTCATCTCCTGTACTGTCCGCAGTCTCTTGTCATCTTCTGTACTGTTCGCAGTCTCTGGTCATCTCCTGTACTGTGTCCGCAGTCTCTGGTCATCTCCTGTACTGTGTCCGCAGTCTCTGGTCATCTCCTGTACTTTCCGCAGTCTCTGGTCATCCCTGTACTGTCCGCAGTCACTGGTCATCTCTGTACTGTGTCCGCAGTCTCTGGTCATCTCCTGTACTGTGTCCGCAGTCTCTGGTCATCTCCTGTACTTTCCGCAGTCTCTGGTCATCTCCTGTACTTTCCGCAGTCTCTGGTCATCCCTGTACTGTGTCCGCAGTCTCTGGTCATCTCCTGTACTGTGTCCGCAGTCTCTGGTCATCCCTGTACTGTCCGCAGTCTCTGGTCATACTGTGTCCCTGTACTGTGTCCTGTACTGTCCGCAGTCTCTGGTCATTCCTGTTACTGTCCGCAGTCTCTGGTACTTCTGTACTGTGTCCGCAGTCTCTGGTCATCTCCTGTACTGTGTCCGCAGTCTCTGGTCATCTCCTGTACTGTGTCCACAGTCTCTGGTCATCTCCTGTACTGTGTCCGCAGTCTCTGGTCATCCCTGTACTGTGTCCGCAGTCTCTGGTCATCTCCTGTACTGTGTCCGCAGTCTCTGGTCATCTCCTGTACTGTGTCCGCAGTCTCTGGTCATCCCTGTACTGTGTCTGCAGTCTCTGGTCATCCCTGTACTGTGTCCGCAGTCTCTGGTCATCCCTGTACTGTGTCTGCAGTCTCTGGTCATCCTGTACTGTCCGCAGTCTCTGGTCATCTCCTGTACTGTCCGCAGTCTCTGGTCATCTCCTGTACTGTCCGCAGTCTCTGGTCATCTCCTGTACTGTCCGCAGTCTCTGGTCATCTCCTGTACTGTCCGCAGTCTCTGGTCATCTGGTCATCCCTGTACTGTGTCCGCAGTCTCTGGTCATCCTGTACTGTCCGCAGTCTCCTGGTCATCTTCTGTACTGGTCGCAGTCTCTGGTCATCTCCTGTACTGTGTCCGCAGTCTCTGGTCATCTCCTGTACTGTGTCCGCAGTCTCTGGTCATCTCCTGTACTGTCCGCAGTCCTCTGGTCATCTCCTGTACTGTCCGCAGTCTCTGGTCATCCCTGTACTGTCCGCAGTCATGGTCATCCCTGTACTGTCCGCAGTCACTGGTCATCCCTGTACTGTGTCCGCAGTCTCTGGTCATCTCCTGTACTATGTCCGCAGTCTCTGGTCATCCCTGTACTGTCCGCAGTCTCTGGTCATCTCCTGTACTTTCCGCAGTCTCTGGTCATCCCTGTACTGTCCGCAGTCACTGGTCATCCCTGTACTGTGTCCGCAGTCTCTGGTCATCTCCTGTACTGTGTCCGCAGTCTCTGGTCATCCTGTACTGTCCGCAGTCTCTGGTCATCCCTGTACTGTGTCCGCAGTCTCTGGTCATCCCTGTACTGTCCGCAGTCTCTGGTCATCTCCTGTACTGTCCGCAGTCTCTGGTCATCTCCTGTACTGTCCGCAGTCTCTGGTCATCTTCTGTACTGTCCGCAGTCTCTGGTCATCTCCTGTACTGTGCCGCAGTCTCTGGTCATCTCCCCCCCCTGTACTGTGTCCGCAGTCTCTGGTCATCTCTGTACTGTGTCCGCAGTCTCTGGTCATCCCTGTACTGTGTCCGCAGTCTCTGGTCATCTCCTGTACTGTGTCCGCAGTCTCTGGTCATACCTGTACTGTGTCTGCAGTCTCTGGTCATCCCTGTACTGTGTCTGCAGTCTCTGGTCATCTCCTGTACTGTGTCCGCAGTCTCTGGTCATCCCTGTACTGTCCGTCCGCAGTCTGTACTGTGTCCGCAGTCTCTGGTCATCCCTGTACTGTCCGCAGTCTCTGGTCATCCCTGTACTGTCCGCAGTCACTGGTCTTCCCTGTACTATGTCCGCAGTCTCTGGTCATCCCTGTACTGTCCGCAGTCTCTGGTTCATCCCTGTACTGTCCGCAGTCTCTGGTCATCTCCTGTACTGTCCGCAGTTCTGGTCATCCCTGTACTGTCCGCAGTCACTGGTCATCCCTGTACTGTGTCCGCAGTCTCTGGTCATCTCCTGTACTGTGTCCGCAGTCTCTGGTCATACCTGTACTGTGTCTGCAGTCTCTGGTCATACCTGTACTGTGTCTGCAGTCTCTGGTCATACCTGTACTGTGTCTGCAGTCTCTGGTCATCCCCTGTACTGTGTCTGCAGTCTCTGGTATCCCTGTACTGTGTCTGCAGTCTCTGGGCATCCCTGTACTGTGTCCGCAGTCTCTGGTCATCCCTGTACTGTCCGCAGTCTCTGGCCATCTCCTGTACTGTCCGCAGTCTCTGGCCATCTCCTGTACTGTCCGCAGTCTCTGGTCATCCCTGTACTGTGTCCGCAGTCTCTGGTCATCCCTGTACTGTGTCCGCAGTCTCTGGTCATCCCTGTACTGTGTCCGCAGTCTCTGGTCATCCCTGTACTGTTAATTAGTTTGCACTACTGTACGAGTTGTTTTTTTCTAAACCAAAAGCTCGATATTCAGGTTTCATTGCAGTTTTGGCACTTTGAAAGAAATAAGTTGGTTTTGGGTTGCAGCTTGGGCACTCGGGCTCAAAAAGGTTCGCCATCACTGCCCTAGGGGGTAGCCCCTGTGGCAGGCGCAGCACCCTTTGGTGCCTTGTGCGCTGTGGCATTAGAACAATTATGCAATTGCTGTTTCTTTGTTTGATTAGACTGACTTTACTCTGTAATTCCTCCAATGCCGCTCTACGGATGCAGTAGGTTTAAAGAGCACACCCGAATACTTTAGTTAACTTCTTTAATAACTTCAATCTTCTTCATATAACACTGCTTACAATGGCTTGTTTTGTTTATCTTACAGTGACTTATTTCTTTCATATTACAATAGTTTAATTCGTATTACATTGGGTTGTCTTGATAGATTCGTTAGATTATTTCGGTAGATTGATAAATTCGTTAATTTCGTAAATTCGGTGGAACTACAAGTAAACACACACACAACAGTTTTTACATACAGATCTACCTGCATTGTTAAACAATAGAGGAACACACAAGTGCATTAAATACCTATCTGGCCTTCTCTGTTTCCATAAAGCTTCTCTGACTGGAACTTGTCTGTTTCCTCTTCTGTCTGGTGAGCATGTGTCTCTAGAACAATCTAGCAGGGAGTTTTACATAGGCATAAATGTGAAACTGGCTGTGATTGGTTAAGGCTCTGTACAGTGTGAGGCTGGCTGTAATTGGCTCACCTATATACTAACTCTTAAAGGCATATTTTCCTTTTCTGCTTCTGCTAACACAATGAATATATAAATGTCATATAACTTTCAAAGACATAAATTACAGCAATGATTCTGCTTTTAGCTTTAACATATGCACATATACACTGTGCTGAGGTTATTGGCAGGTTTGGTATACACATATATGTGAACCATATTAGCAACCTAGGACCGGTCCTAGCTGGCCAGCTACACTCCCACCAAAGTTCCTTTGAACGTCTTGCTCTTTCTCACATCCCCATTGACTTCCACTCCTTCTCTACTACCGGCTTCTCGAGGCGTTTGGCTCACTCTCTGGTTTGATAATAAACCCTAATAAATCAACAGCACTCAACATCTCTCTCCCCCCTTTAGAGTTAACGCACCTAAAGCAGATTCTACCATTCCCTTGGTCGCACTGTCATATCCCTTTCTTGGGTATTAAACTGACCCCTAAGTTATCAGACCTTTACGCAGCTAACTATCTTCCGATGCTAAACCATCTTTCTGCCCTTTTGACCAAATGGTCTTCCTTACTCCTCGCATGGCTAGGCAGAATAGCAGTTATCAAGATGTCAATCCTCCGAAAATTTCTATATCTATTTAGAGTCCTCCCAGTCCCAGTCCCCCCTCACTACCCCCGCACACTACAGCGTCGCATTTTTTCCTATGTATGGGGTAATACTCGTCCTCGTATACCTCGCTCCACCCTATACCGTCCTAAGCTCAATGGGGGTCTAGGCCTACCTGACATCAGCAAATACTATCAAGCATTGCATTTAGCCCAATTACCATGCAACCTTTGAAATCCCTCATCATTTCCTGCAGAGGAATAAGTTTAAATCCTTTGCCTCGCTGCAGGAAACACATGGCCTCCCAGCTTCCGAGATATTCAGATACTTACAGCTACAACACTTTTACGCTCCCTACGCTACAACAACAAATCGGCCAGATGCTATGTCTTTCTTCGAACGAGCGTGCTACAAAGACCCCCATAGACGTGGGCTTATTTCTTGCTTATATTCACTCTTCACTACTTCGATTACCACGTCCCCCCCTCTGTATACCCATAAGTGGGAAGTGGATTTAGGCAAGAAACTCGACCCATCTGACTGGGTTCACATTTGGGCTAACACAAAATCATCTTCGCAGAACATTGTAGCATTGGAAACGAATCATAAAGTTTTAACCCGCTGGTACTTGGTCCCAGCGAGAATCGCAAAATTTACCCCTAATTACTCACCCAACTGTTTTAGAGGCTGTACAGACTTAGGGACACACTACCATATGTGGTGGGAATGCCCAGTGGCCCGAGTCTTTTGGGATGAAATTTTCACCATGATATCTACACTTAGCGCTATCACTCTACGACCTGATCCAACAACAGCCCTACTCAATCAGTGCCCCCCTGGCGTCTCCAACTTGCAATTCAAGCTCCTTATGCAAGTTACAACAGCGGCTAAGCAGGTTATAGCGAAATCCTGGAAATCCCCCACCCTTAATGTTGCTGCCGTCAAAACCAGAATAACACAAGCCATGATACATGCAAAGGTGGAAGCCACAATTCTAGACACGATCCCTAAATTTTGCACATATGGAACCCCTGGGTAGAGCGCTTCCTCCTGCCCAACTTTGATGAATCACTCCTTCTCCCTTGATTTTCTATACTGTGCGCCTAGGATACTGTCAATAGTCCTTCGTGGGCAACACGTAGAGTCTGCTGTAAACTAGTTGATTGTTCATGGAGTCATCGTTATTGTTCCTTTTCCCATACCCTCCCTTCCTCCCCCCCGTCTGATCCCCCTCCAAACTTCCCCCTACTTCTTAAATGCACTTAGGAGACGTTACTTTGATTGGCTGGGACGATAATGTCATCTATTGCCGACTCTTATGTTCCCGCTTTTGCTAGAATTGTATAGACATCTGTAATGTGATCCTCATTTATTTTTCTTCAATGTCCTACTGCCTCTTCAATGTCCAATGTATATCAACAAAGTCTCCTTGGTTGTGTTGTTAAAGTTTTCTCTCTTGTTAATAAAAATGTTTGAACAAGAAATATCCATGGAAGAGAAAGTTCCAACTAGACGTACCATTCTTTCCGCAGTAGCCTCAATATATGATCCGTTGGGATTCTTGGCACCAGTAATCCTCAGAGCAAAAGAAATACTGTAAGAATTAAGCAGACAGAAGTTGGGATGGGACGAACCCATACCTGCAGGCTTGAGGCCAAGGTGGGAGAGTTGGATAAGAGACTTGCAAAATTTGAAAGAAATTTGGATAC